TCAGAGAAACTGACGTTTATTTTCTAAACATGATCCTTCCTGTTAAAAGGAGTTTTTCTTTCCACTGTCTCCTTTGTGCTTGCTCAGGATGGGCGACTGTGACGAAGTAAAGACTGAACACAATCTGCTGCTTCCCTAGAGAAACAACTTTAATAATTATCTTTTATAATCCGTGAGCATGCATCAGGATGTCTTTTATAATGTTTCTGTTCAGAGACCTGAGACGACTTCTGTTGGGACTTGGAGCTGCAGAAATAAACTGAGCTGAATAACTGATCAATAAACTGATAAATTAAAGGATTATTAACAGAACTAATAAAATGATTACTACCTGCATCAATAACTGATCAATAAACTGATAAATTAAAGGGTTATTAACAGAACTAATAAAATGATTACTACCTGCATCAATAACTGATCAATAACCATCTCCGTCCTCAGTGGGAGGAGCTCAGCGGTGTTGATGATGACGCCAACAGCGTTAGAACCATTGAGATCTGCACGCCTAGTAGCCCCGCCTCTTACTGGCTGAGGACCCGGTGGATCCCCCGACGGGCGGCGACCACGCTCTACGTGGAGATCCGGTTGGTGGATTTATTCTGCGGTAGTGTCATGTGACAGGAAGTGATGCAAGTGATGGTGTCCCGACCCGCTGCAGGTTCACCATGATGGAGTGTGCTGGGATGAACAAGCCCCACTGCAAGGAGACCTTTAACCTTTACTCGTACGCGTCTGACAGCGACGAGGCCACGCCCACTCACCCCACCTGGATGGAGAACCCCTACAGCAAGGTGGCCACCATCGCCGCTGACCACCTGCTGCGGCGTGGTGGGGAGCGGCGCTCCAACGTCAAGCTGCTGCGGCTGGAGGCGCTACAGGAGGCGGGGCTTTACCTGGCCTTCCAGAGCCAGGGCGCCTGCATGGCGCTGCTCGCCGTGCGCGTCTTCTACAGGAAGTGCCCGCCCCTCCGCCGCGCCTTCGCCTTCTTCCCCGAAACCATCCCCCACTCTCTGGTGGAGCAGGTAACCATGGCAACAACATGGGAAACAGGAAGCAGGAGTTTTTTTCCTTCAAAATTAAAGGCTTTACTTTCAAAGTAAAAGCTTCAGTTGATAACAGTTTACAAAATAAAAGCATTAGTGCCGTTTGTTTTATTTTGAAGACTTCTTTGTCTGTGCGCAGGCTCAGGGTGTGTGTGTGGAAAATGCTGTGACCCCGCCTGGGGAGTACTCGAAGCCTCCCAGCATGCTTTGCGGCGAGGACGGTCAGTGGGTGGCGGAGCCAACGTCCAGCTGCGCCTGTCGCCCCGGTTACGAGGCGGGCGACAGCGGCGTGCGCTGTAGAGGTGAGACATTTCAACATAAAAGCACCAAGATTAGTTGTTGTCTGCCGCCTTTAAAGGTGGGTGATCATGTAAACGTCTCTGTGTTTGTTAGCAAAATATCTCAAGAACCAGTGGACAGACTTATCTACACCTGAATCACCTGTAGGTCTAACTCAATTCAAGATGGCCACCAAAACTAATCAGAGGTAGATAAAAGAAACAGTTGAAAGGGTATTTTACAAATGCTGAGCTGAAGTGTGGTGTGGTAGTAGCTGAGAGTCCTCCCAAACACGTACTCTGAGGGCAACAGATCACACCCCGCGTTAGCCTTCAGCTCCGTTAGGTTAGCTTTTAGCTGTTTCCCTGCCAGTATCCAGCTATAAAACTTCAGAAAACATTTGCAGCTCATAACTGAAGACTGAGTCAGTCCATAACCAGACCTGAACTTTCAACATCTACTGTTCATCTTTTATTCCGAGCGTGTTGCACATGACTACGTTTTTTTTTTTTCATTTTTTACAGGCTCATTTTGCATTACCATAATTTTGTGATAGTTTTCTGGTTTTCAGTTTCTGAAAGCTGAAAAGTCGCACTTTACTCTCATTATAGACATTACGGTAACTCGACTCACGACTCAACGCTCATGAAACGACCCCTCTGTGTCCCTCCCCACACACAGACAGGGACAGGTAACCCAGCCAGCTCTTGTCTAATGTGGGACATTTGAGCGTCCCCACCTCCTCATGTGGTACTGTCCCGCTTAAATCAGGATAGCTGGCATGAATGCCATTAGCCAAGTCATAAGATAATTTACTAGCATAGTATTTAGCCTAATCTTTCACCTAG